TGGCTAAACAGTGTTTCCTTTCCCAATTTCGATATGTTTATATTAGGTAAAGAGAAGTGTTTAAAGAAACTGACAGATAAAGAGATAGTAGGAACTGCCGATGCTGGAGAATCTGAGATAACAAGGTGTAGAGCTGGATGAACACAGCAGGCCCAGCAGCATCATAGGAGCAGGAAGGCTGACGTTTCGGGTCTGGACCCTTCTTCAGAAATGGAGGAGGGGAAGGGGGCTTTGAAAGACTTTTTATTTTGAAAGTCCTTGTGAGTTATCTCTGGGGTGGTACACAGCAGTTTCCTGGAAATTGCTCATCAGTTCTTGGAGGCCATTCCTGAATTGTTGCCAATCCTTGATCCAGAAACATGGGGCTGGATTCCATACATTGGAGAAGCATTGTAAATAGGAGCACGATTTGGCCATTCAGCCCATCATGCCTGGTTGCCCATTCAAAATGATCATTGTTGATTATCCAACTCAGTGCATAGTTCCTGATTTCTCATCCTATCCTTTTTTCCCTTTAGCCCTAAGAACTGTATGTAACTCATTCTAGAAAGTATTCAATGCTTTGGCCTGTACCTGTTCACTGAGTGGCTTAAAATTGGATCTGACTCCCACCGTCAGGGTCAAATGGGGGTCAGAGGCCCATACTGAGTCCGTCCCCTCAGGGCAGCAAAATAAAGACTGAGGCAGCTTCACTAACCAGTAGAGGATGCTGGGTAGAGAGCCAATCAGAGGCCATCTCGTATGAGAGGCTGCAATGAAGGGTAATTATGAGAGAGGAGGCTTCAGCACGGCGGCATCATGTCTCCCACTCTCTAAAATTTAAACTGACTGTGGCTTTTGCAGCCACTTTTGAGGGGAGAGGGTAATGTAATGAGGGACACCCATTATGGCGTGGCCTGCAGTTGCTGTAACTCTCTAGAGCCTATCTGGTCCTCAGGCCTCTGGCCTGCTTTTGGGGGGATACCTCGACGCAGACAAACCAAGCCCCCATCACCTGCAGGCAAATTGGCCTCAGGCAGCCTTCGAATAACTTTATGGTCTTCCTGCCAAGGTGGAGGTGGGAGGCCCTCCTGAACGCTGGCCATCCTGGCATTCATGAGAATGGCCTTGGTTTGGCATGGTGCCAGGGAACTGTAGCTTCCTAGAAGGAGGTAGATATAGATCTTGGAGCTATAGGGATCTGAGAGTACAGGGAGAAAGCAGGAACAGGGGACTGCAGGGGACTAGAAATGTCAGTATTTACTGCCCATCCCAACGTAGTGGGAATCTGGAACTCGCTGGCTGTGAGGATGGGAAAAGCAGAAACCATGATCCTATTGAAGAACGAAGCAGGCTTGAAGGGCTGAATGGCCTACTCCAGATCCTATTTTCTATGTTTCTGTGAACAGGCGCACCAGCTGGTTTGAGTGGGAGTCTCAATGTCCTGCCCCCTCCACTAATCCTACCAAAGTGACCGTGAAGTATTTGGAATGTCACCTAAACTCAACTAATTCACTGATATCAGATATGGCAGGAACTGCCGATGCTGGAGTCTGAGATAACAATGTGTGGAGCTGGATGAACACAGCAGGCCATGCAGCATCAGAGGAGCAGGAAAGCTGACGTTTCAGGTCTAGACCCTTCTTCAGAAATTTCTGAAGAAGGTTCTCGACCCGAAACATCAGCTTTTCTGCTCCTCTGATGCTGCTTGGCCTGTTGTGTTCATCCTGCTCCACACCTTGTTATCTCTAATTCACTGATATCCCTTTAGGGAAGGAAACCTGTTGTCCCTACCCAATCCGAGACTACATGTGATTCCACCTCTATGTCAATGTGTTGCCCACCGACATGACCATACCTGCCTCTCACTTTGTTTCAAAAGGTTACTGTGACCTGTGGATGATGAGCCACCAACACCTTCACATAGGGTCAGGGAGATCTACAGCACAGAAAAGGCCATTCAGCCCATTGTTTCCACACCAGCCAGAAACAACTAACTATTCTAATCTCATAATTCCAGTACTTGGCCTGTATCCTTGTACATCTAAATATTTCTTGAATGTTATGAGGGTTTCTGCTTCTCCCATCCTCAGCCAGCGAGTTCCAGATTCCCACTATGTTGGGACAAGTGGTAAATACTGACATTTCTAGCAATGCCCTGATTCTGAGAATGAATTACGAACAAACCTAGATTGAGACTAAAAAAACTCATTTCACATGCTTTCTTAAAAGCCACATTTTGTCCTCTTGATATTTATAATCATTTCACAGTACATTGGTAATTAATTGCATTGACATTAAACGTGATAACTGCTGTTAAATATCACTTCACAGGTTGCACATAATACATTCAGAAGGCTTTTGAAAGTTAATTAACTCATAACAAAAATAAACCTTTCCCCTTCAGTTATTACAATTTAACTCTGAAATCTTGAGCAAACTAAAACCAACAATGACTGGAAGCAAATAAGAATAAAGAGTACAGGACACTAGTCTCTTCCAAAATAAAAACAAAGTTTATGTATAGAATAGTGGGATGGAATTAGGAAGGCTCAGGTACATGGAGAATGTGGGGATACAATCTCAGGATTGAGATGGTTTAATGTAGACAGCTTTTTATGAATCATACCTGCCCTGAACAATAGTCTGTAACATTAATAGGTACTGAAATGCAAAGCCTTTATATAAGACCCATTCCCACCTTGGCAGATTGTGAGAATGAATTCAAGATTTCAACACTTCAACACAAATTCAACATTTTTCACTGTATCTTCAAGATATATGTGACAATAAATAAATCATTCATTCAAGATTTGTTGTCCAGCTGGCACCTGCAATGTAAGTATGGCAAGTTACATCTTATCACAGAGACCCAATTGGTTCACAACTTTCAGGGAAGTTAGCTTCACCCAGTCTGAGCCTTTCCATTGACTATACATTGAATACTCCTCATAGCCCCACCGAGAATGCATGACTCATGAGAATCTGTGAGGTTTTGAGCCTGTTGCTCCAAACCAGAGAACACACTGTCCTAACTCTCATGTTAATGATAGCGATCTCATAATCAATTATCCATCAGGATAGATTAACTCAGTGGGCTAATTTATCTAAAACAGTAAACCACATTATAAATTATGAAGTGGACCTTCCAGCAATCCAATTGATTTCTGTGTGCTCAGTTTGCAAACTCATGGTAGACTAGCCACCAGGCAGAGTTGCAACATTGTATGCACACCACACACAGAGCATTTGATGAATTATTTTAAAGGAAATGTACATTTACAACACTATTGAGTCTGCCATCTTGAAAAGCCTTCTAACTCTGTCATTAGTCCCTACTTTTAACTCTCCTGCTGAAGTTTGGAGTGTTCATTTGTTCTGTGTGTGATTATATGTGCCTGTTGACCTGTTCATACTCACCGTGGTTGATTGCTTAAGCCTGTCTGTGGTCTCAGAGAAAGATAATGGAAGCTCTAAAAGAGCAGAAAGCCTGAGCTGAAGCTGACTCAGTCCACTGCTGTGTGACTGACTCTTAACTGCCCTGTGAAAGGCCCTATTAAGCCACTCAGTTCAAGGGCAATTAGGGATAGGTAAAAAGACATGCTGGTCTTTTCAACAGCATAAATAAACAAAGTGTCATTCATTCCCAAGTGAAGTATGGCCTGATACATTTCACATTTGCAATTGCTTACCAAGGTGGTCAGTCACTGAACATGTTCAAATGAGGCTGCCAATGTACTTTTAACAAAAAAGTATAGTAGGCAAAAGAAAAGGACAAAAGCTATCATATGTATTTTATAAAATACGTATGATAGTTTTGTTCTTTTCTTTTGCCTACTATACTTTTCTGTATGTATATATCTGAATATATATATATGTATATGACAATGTAGGAAGATCTCTTAAGTAGTATGGAAAAGAAAGATTTTACCCTTTCTCCCAGCAACATCCTTTACTAACACTCAACCCCAGTGAAACATCAATCCTATCTTTTCTCTTTAATATCTTACTTAACTGATCATGTTGCAAGCATTTCCCTTCTGCAACATCTGAATATGGTTTCTGACCTCTGGTCTCCCTTTCTTTGGGTGACAACAGCTCAAATTAATAACCCCTCTAGCAATTATCTCACCAGATGTCTTGGCTAGTCTTTTAACTTTAAGTCATATGATTTCTTACAAACTTTGCTTTGACGTTACTAAAAAAAAAATTGAGTTTCTGACCCTTAAGTAAAACAGGAACTGAAAACTTCTTTAAAAACCTTTTCCATTTTCTATTCAAAAACTCCCTCTCGCTATTTGTATTTTACTTTGGCAGTAATAATGTATTTATTTTAAACACCTTAGGATTTGCATAATAATTATATTTTACACAAGTCCATGTTGATCACAACATTTATTTTCCTCCATATTTGCACTTGATAAAACATAGTTGCCTCTTCAAGCCTGGTAAACGATTTTCAAACTGTACAGTTGCAGTATTAAACTCCAATGAAACAGTGTCTGATTTTTATTATGAAATCATTTAAGGACGGTTAAAAGATTAAGGTACATACCAAAACACAATAGTGTCTGCAGAGTTGTTGGATGTGTAAACTTCAAATTATTGTACAGCCAATGACAAATTCAGTGTCAATGTTTCTATGATGAATATTTCTGTTGTTTTCCCCCTGCAAATATATCAAGGAGATAGCCTAGACCCTAACTTTTATCTTATTTAAAGGCAAGTGTAAGGTGTTGCATTCCAGATGCAATTCAATTGGTCAAACTGCTCAACATTAAGCAAAACACCCTTCATTTTTACACTACAGTTAAAATACAGATAAAATAAAAATAAAAGAATTGGTTTAATTGTAACTATTGAAATGCTTAACAAAATATTAGCTATATTAACTACTACTTAATAACTGTTCCAATATAGTAACATTCCATAAACACACCCTTGGCAAAGGCAAGTTCGGTAAGATAGATTTGTCTCACATGCTATTCTAGCAGCAGGAAGAGAGCCCCCAGTTTTTAGCTGTAACAGAAAGAGAGAATAAGAGCCTCCACAGCCAGCTTCAAGACCCAGCAACTGTTAGAATCTAAAACTAAAATCCTGGTTCTGTGGGAGCTTATCTCACTAATTCAGGTTGTATCTATTGTTTCAACTTAATAAAAATAACCCAAGGGCTCACAAGCTGTTTACTTTTTTGGCTTTGAGCAGACCACTCAGTGGCTCGGTCTCAACATTTCGTTATTAAAAAAAACCAGAGCAGAATAGACCTCTCAAGGCCATAGTATCATCACACCTTAAAAAAGAACCATCAATATACAAAGATGGCTTCATTTGTAAAAAAACTTTAGCCTTCCACTATTAGTACACCACAATACATATACATTATACCAACTCTAAGTATACAAACCTTCACTACTACGGCCCATTTCAGTCTGTTTCTTCCCACCACCGAACGCCTCAGTCTTCCTTCATCAAAGTCACAACAACATGTTGGCAATTATGATCTCTCATCCTGCCATGTGTATTGTTTTCAAATTGATAAGCAATAATAAGCTCCATCTAAATAATCTGGTATTTTTATCCTTAATTTTTTTCCAAAACCTTTAAGAGTTTTTGACCTGTACATACAATTGTGTCAGACACATTACTGGCAATATAAATGTTGAAATGTTGCAACACAAACCACCAAGCTCAAGGTCTCCTTCTCAGTTGTGGAATATTTTTGTTGATGATTATTCAACTATCTGGAGAACTACCCAACAGGTCTTTCAATCTTCTCATCGTTTTCTTGCAAGAGTACAGAACCAACACGCATGTCACTCGCATCGATAGCCACTCGGCTTTGTGTAATTAGGTGTGGCTAACCCTGGGGCAGTGGTTAACACAGCTTTCAGGCTGTCAAATGCCTTCTGACATTCCTCTGTTCACTGAAATTTTCTGCACTTCTTCAACATGTCTGTCAGTGGAGCAAACACATTGCTGAAATTCGGTGTAAACTTCCAATAAAACCCACTCAGCTCCAGGAATGGTAATACTTCCCTCTTCGTTGATGGTCTGGAAACTCCCCAATAATCTTTGTTTTCACATTCCCTGGGGCCACCCGTCCATGTCCTATAACATGGCCCAAGAACATGACTTAGGCTTTTGCAAACTCACTCTTAGCCAGGTTTATTACCAAGCCTGCCTCCCAAACTTGATCAAACAATTCCAATAAATGCTCCAAATGTTACTTCCATGCGTGACCAAAATTCACCAGATCATCTATGTGTACGAAACAACGGGGTAATCTCAAAATGGCTTTATTGGTTAGTCTTTGAAATGTAGCTGGAGCATTTTTCATACCAAATGGCATGACTTTGAACTGGTGTAGTCCATTCAGTGTCACGAAAGCCAAAACTTCTTTCGCACCTTTGGATAAAGGTGCCTGCCAATGTCCTCTGAGTAAGTCCAGCTTTGAAAAATAAGTTGCTTGTCCCACCTTCTCAGTACAGTTTTCCAGCCATGGAATAGGACATGACTTTGTAACGGCATTGGTTTTGCAATAGTCCACACACAATCTGGTTTTGGCACCATTATTACAGATGAACTTCAGTCACTGCAACTCATTTCAATTATATTGTCTTTGAGCATGTGTTCAATCTCCTTTTGAACATGTGCCGACTGAAGAGGTTTAAGTCTTTAAGGATATGGCTTAATTGGAACAGCATTTCATGTGTCTATATCATTCATAATCAGATTAGTACTTCCCACCTTATTCCCACATATCTCCCCCTGTGATTGTATTAACTCTTTTAGGTCATTTTGATTTTTATCTAGAAAATAACTTAATAATTTATTCCACTGTTTCAGAACTTCTTCATTATCCAATTTAATTTAAAGAATCTCCAATTCAGAATCATCTGAATTTGGTTCTTCACTCTGTTGCTTTCCTTCCCTATCAAAATACCCTTTTAGCATATTCACATGACAAACTCTGTGAGATTTCTTTGTATCTGGTTTTCTTATGAAATTATTCACCTCACTCAATTTCCTTTCTATTTGATAAGCCCCACCAAACCTTGCTTTTCAAGGCTCACTTACCACTGGGAGTAATACTAACACTTTATCTCCACTAGCAAAATTACAAATTTTTGATTTCTTGTCTGCTTCCTGTTTCATCCCATGCTGTGCTACTTTTAAATACTGTCTAGCAACTCACCCACCCTAAAATTTGACACATCGTCCAAATATGTGGTCTCCGAATTCTGACTTAACAATTTTCCCGAAATTAATTTTAATGGTTCTCTTGGCCCATGTCTGAGAACTCATTCAAATGGACTCAATTTGGTGGATTCATTAGGTTCATCCCCAATTTCAAAACGTACAAATGGAAATCTTTTATCCCAATCCTCTGGATTATTTTGACTATAAGCCCTCAACGTGGTCTTTAAAGTTTAAATCCACCGTTCTAACACTCCCTGTGATTCTGGAAGCTATGCAATGGATTTGAATTGTTTTATTCCTAAACTATCCATAACTTCCTTGAATAATTTTGATGTAAAATCTGATTCTTGATCCAATTGAATTTCTGTGGGTAGTCCATATCTAGTAAAAATTTTCAGTAACTCTTCTAGCTGTGATATAGTATAATGGAATTGCCTCTGGAAATCTAGAAGACACATCCTTTATGGTCAACAAATACTGATTCCCACTTTTTGTTTTAGGTAGGGGTCCTATGCAATCAATTAAGTCTCTTGTACAAGGTTCCTCAAATGTGGGAGTGGGTATTAAAGATGCTGGTTTTATCACTGCCTGAGGTTTTCCAATTACCTGACACGTATGACTTGTCTGGTAAAATTCTATCACATCTTGATGCAGTCCAGGCCAATAAAAATGTTTTTGTATTTTGGCTTGAGTTTTCCTTACTATTAAATGATCTCCTACTGGTAATTCTACCCGCAACACCTCCTTTCTATAACCCACTGATAATACAACTTGATGAAGTTCTGCTCATTCCTCATCTGCCTGGACAGTTCGAGGTAGTTTTATTTGGTGGTCTAATCACAAGCAGGAACTGAACTGAGACCAGATTTACAAACTGGCAGGATGTGTTATAAATCTACAATCAACAGGCACTGTGAAGCTCACTGATAGCGTGTGCTGATCCTCTGTTAGGAGGAACACAGCTTCAAACACAGGTTTCTGTCAGAGGAGGTAAATAACTTTCAAACATGATCAGGGGGCTGTTTCGATCTGGGTTGCAGTTCCACTCAGTGTGATCTACGTCCTGGACTGGTGACTGCTCTAGGTTTATTTTGTCTCGGGCTGGAACAGTTGACGCCATTGAGCTTGTCTGTTTCAGAGCAGCCTTGCTGCTTTCCAAAGCAGGAAGCTGTGGGTAAGGAAACAAGAGGCATTAGAGAGTCATACAGCACGGAAACAGACCCTTCGGCCCAACTCTACCATGCTGACCTGGCTTCCTAAACAGAAATAGTGCCATTTGCCTGCGTTTGGCCCATATCTGAGGCCATGGTATCACTTGCACAATTAAGGAATGGATGAGGAATGGGTGTTGTAGGATGATGGGGCAAAGCTAGAAAGTCTTGCATTTATATGATACTTTCATAGTTTTTGGGCATCCCCAGTCAGCACAACAATGATTGAAGTCTAGTCACTGCTGTAAGACAGGGAAAGGCAGCAATAACTTTATGTTCAAAAAGATGCCACTAACAGCAAAGTGATAACAGCACAGAGGTTAACAGAGCTGTCTCTCAGTGCCAGGGACCTGGGCTTGATTCTGGATGGAGAATTGACTACAACAATTAGTCCATTTCTTAAGCTGCTCACTGCCTTAAAGACATTCAACGTGCTACAGAAATGCAAGTCCTCTTTATTGTTTAGTGAACAAGACTGCCCAAGGACTGGTAGTGAGGTGATCACCATAATCGCATTGATTTTGCACATCTGTCCTCATGCTACCTGCCCCTACACACCCCTCCTCATCCAGCCCCAACACCCTTTATAAACCTGTCTCCAACACTGTCCATCCTGCATTGCCTGTATGCCCCCTAATGACCCAGCTACAACACTCCCATCTCCACATGCCTCATCCCTACAATCCCCTGAGTCTGAAACCCCTCGCCCCACGCCCTCCACCCTCGCATTGCTGCTCCTATATGCTCCTCATAACTCCCCTGTGCCACACCCTTACACCCTGTACCTCCACGCACCAGCCACTCCTACCCATATCATCCCTACACATCAACACATCCCTAGCTGCAAGCTCCAACTCCAGACACCCTCCCCTCACAGGCCACCCTCAAAATCCACACCCGTACATACCCATTACACTCGCACCCCTCCATTCCTGGTGTAGGAAACATGGCAGCCATTTTGTGTACAGCAAGCTCCCACAAACACTTTGCATACAATATATATCCCACAACCGATGACCGGCCGTTATCACAGAATCTCTACAAATCAGATAGAGGTCATTCAGCCCATCGAGTCTACCACTGACCCACCAAAGAACCTCCCACCCTATCCCTTATACCCAGACCCCTTCACTACACCCGTCATCAATAGACACCCCACCCATATGTCATTACCATCACACCATCCCACTTCTACAGCTGGCTCCCTCACATTTGCACCCCCCACCCCCTTCCACCACCCCCCTAAAAGGCTCTCAGGCTGATGTACCCTACCCTCCCTCACCCCAGGCCCAGTCCCTCATTATTGCTCCAACCTCCACTCCTCTCCTCTATATGCCAACCTTGCAGGTCCACTCTTTTACCCCTCAAACATCACTGTTGATGAACTGCGATATCTCTCCAATCTTTCTCTGCTCATTGTTGAATAGATTATTTGTTAGATAGGCTGTGGGAGAGGAAGGGTGAGTGAAAGATTATGACAGTAACAACAAATATTTAACACAATGTTGTTTCCAAAGGCACCTTGAGGGCTTTTATAAAGCAATATAAGCGATATTAGACCAGATGTCCAAGAGAACAGGGCAGAGACACAGGGCCAATATTGTCTGTTGCACTGTGTCACTATCAATATGGTATTCATTAAGTTTACCTCTTTCTTATTCAATTGTTCTGTCTCTTCCGAAACTGGATTCTTCTTCGAAAGATCCCACCAGAGTAAACCATTGGCGATATCTTCTCTCTTAGTTGGTCCTAAGAAAGTGGAGAAAGAAAAGACAATCTAGTGTCCATACCCTCTCAGTAAAGGGGAGTTGATGCGTAGTGGTGTTACCACTAGCCTATTAATCCAAAGACCCAGCTAATGTTCTGAAGATATGAGTTCAAATCCTGCCACAGCAGATGGCGGAATTTGAATTGAATAAAAATCTCAAATTGAGGATCTCATGATGACTATGAAACCATTGTTGGGGAAAACCCCATCAGGGTCACTGATGTCCTTTAGGGGAAGAAACTGCTGTGTTTACCTGGTCTGGCCTACATATGATTCCAGATCCACAGCAATGTTAACTGCCCTCTGGGCAATTAGGGATGGGCAATAAATTCTGGCCTAATGAGTGACAATCACAAATAATGAATTAAAAAAAACTTCTTTTCTGGAACACTAGCTCTCAATGAAGCCCATTGTTCTCATATGCCAACTCATTTGAGACCACCCCCTTAAGTACATGCAAGGGGAAGCAATGGCCTAGTGGTATTAATGCTGGGCTCTTAACCTACAGATTACGTTCTGGGGGACCCGTGTTCTAATCCCTCTACAGCAGATGGTGGAATTTCAATTCAATGGAAAAAAAACCCCTAGAGTTAAGAGTTTAATGACTACCATGAATGAATCTGTTGTCAATTGTTGGGAAAAAAGGACATCTGGTTCACTCATGTGCTTCAGGGAGGGAAACTGACATTTTGACTTGGTCTGGCCTACATAATCATGAAGTGGCTCGAGAGGTGGGTCATGGCCCACATCAACTCGAACCTCCCAGCCTGCCTCGATCCCCTACAATTTGCCTATCAACGTAACAGGTCCACAGAGGATGCCATATCCCTAGTCCTGCTCTCATTCCTGGAACATCTGGACAACAAAGACACCTATGTCAGACTCCTGCTCATCAACCACAGCTCCACCTTCAACACCATTATCCCCTCCAGACTGATCTTAAAACTCCGAGACCTTGGTCTCGGCTCCACCCTCTGTAGCAGGATCCTCAACTTCCTGAGCCATAGGCTGCAATCAGTGAGGATAGACATCTGCATCTCCTCCACGATTCTCAGCCCCCTACTGTACTCCCTGTACACCCATGACTGTGTACCCAAATTCTGAATGAATGCCATCTACAAGTTTACTGATGACACCACTGTGGTAGGATAGATATCAAACAGCGATGAGTCAGAATACAGAAAGGAGATAGAGGGCTTGGTGACATGGTGCAATAAAAACAATCTGTCTCTCAATGTCGGCAAAACTAAAGAACTGATCATCAACTTCAGAAAGAAAGGAGAAGAGCACACCCCCGTCTACATCAATGGAATTGAGGTTGAGAGGGTGAAGAGGAGTGACGATAACCGACAACCTGTCCTGGACTTCCCACATAAATGCAACAGTCAAGAAGGCACAACAACGCCTCTTCTTCCTCAGGTGGCTCAGGAAATTTGGCACATCCATAAGGTCTCTCACCAACTTCTACAGATGCACCATTGAAAGGATCCTGTCTGGGTGCATAACTTTCTGGTATGGCAACTGCTGTGCCCAGGACCGTAAGAAACTACAGAAGGTGGTGTGCACAGCCCAGACTATCACTGAAGCCAACCTTCCATCCATGGACTCCATTTACACGGCTCGCTGCCACAGAAAGGCGGCCAACATCATCAAAGACCCATCCTACCCCGGAAATGGTCTCCTACAGCCTATTCCATCAGGCAGAAGATACAGGAGCCTGAACACACGCACAAGCAGGTTCACAACAGGTTCAAGAACAACTTCTTCCCTGCCTTTATTAGATTGATGAATGGACTCTCTAACTTCAAATAATGCTGATCTTGTTACAGTTGATCTTGCCTCGTGTAACCTGTATGCCTAATTCTGTCCAAGTTTTATTCATCCTACGATCTGTATGTCCTTGCTCACTCTGATCTGCCTGTACCACTCATAAACAAAGGTTTTCACTGTGCTTAGGTACACGTGACTACATTAAATCAAATCAAATCAAACATAGGACTCCAGACCCACAGCAATGTGGTTGACTATTAACTGCTCTCTGGGCAATTAGGGATGGGCAATAAATGCTGCCTAGCCAGTGAGACCCACATACCTCGAATGAGTAAAGATAAAAAACATTCAATCTCCAATTGGCCCCCTTTCCTCTAGAAGGTGAACTGTCATCGAAGACCACCCCACTCACTCCTGACTCGTCCTTTTTCCAATCTTGTTTTAATGTCTGCTAAAGATTTGGGAAAATGGTGCAACTGCTTTATGGTAATCTGTCACATATCTTCCTGGCCAGGATTCAGCCTGATATTTAGTATATTTATTTACCTGATAAATAGCTGACTCCAATACCGACAATCACCGTTGTTAATGTTCCCAGAAGACCATAGTAAAGGTAAGATAAAGCATAAAACTGTTCCACAATGTTGGGCCTACAAACCAAATCAGAGAGGTCAATAACTTGACAGTAAACTGCAGCCTCCTGCCCCATTCTTGAGCACAGACTTTGTCGATAAGATAGATAAAGAGAAATATCTTCCCTGGTTGGAAATTCTAGAACTAGAGGGGCACAGTCTCAGAATTAGGGTCAGAGCGTGCTGGACAGATGTTAGGAAGCACTTCTACACACAAAGGGTGGTAGAAGTTTGGAATTCTCTTCCACAAATGGCAGTGGATGCTGGATCAGTCGTTCATTTTAAATCTGAGACGGAAAAATTTTGTTAAGCAAAAGTTTTAAGGTGTGTGGAGTTTGGGTACTATCCATGAATAGTGGAGCAGCTCGAGGTGCTGAATGGCCTACTCCTGTCTATATGTTCCTCCATCTCTGCCACTGCTTCCAATTCCGGAACTGAATGAGAAAAAGAGGTCCAATTCTGAATTAGGTAGTGAGAAAACAAGGAAGGAGAGTAAGATCCAAAGATGTCAGCACGTGACTGGGGACCTGCCCTGAAGGTGTGGGAATTATGGAGAGTTTATTCGACTTCATGATAGAACAGGGTTCGCTCTCACCTCTTGTTCAGTCCAGACAGTGTTATCGCCTTGTCAACGAGCCAAGCACTGCCATTGACTGTAGCGTTGGGATTGTACACAAGATGACACCTGTCTGTGTTGAATGGCAGGACCCCCATTATCTCAGGTGTGGGTGGGTACAGAATGCCCCCGATGGACACCCAGAGAGAAATGGCAAATCCAGCTGCTAAGCCGGAAAATACACCCTGAAAGAAGAAAAGATACAGAGGAATAATTAATCCAAATGAATTTATTGTCTCTGGGAAGCCACTGGAAAAAGAAAAGGAGACCAGCAACACATTTTAGGGAGCCAAAGGACTGACAGGTTTATTTGAATGAGCACTGAAATATAACACATAGCACAGAAACAGGCAATTCAGCCCATCGAGTCCATCTTCCCACTGCACTTAATCTCACCCCCAATCTTCTACTTGTCAGGGTATGCCCCTGTGTTAAATTGTTTGCCAGTGTTGGCTTCTATTTTGTGGCTTTGACATAAGCCAGAGTGCCCTAAAACTCATGTGATTTGCTGCCTGCTCACTTTGTAGGAGCCAGGATATCATCAACACAAGTACCAAGTTTTCATTTACATAGAGCCTTTAAGTGAAATTAAACCGTACAGCACAAAAACAGACCATATAGCTCAACCTTTTAGCATATCCTTCAATCCCATTCGCTGTCACATCTTTAATTATTGTCCACTTCATGCCGGTTATCATAGACTTGAATAAAACATGAACTGAAGCTACTGTTGCATCTGTGTTGACAGGATTTAGCCCCAGATTAAAACCCAAAGAAAGAGTTCCCTGAACATACAAACAAGGAGCAAGAGTAGGCCGCTTGGCCACTTCGAACCTGCTCCACCATTTAAAAAGATCGTGGCTGATCTTATTTTAACCTCAACACTACGTTCCTGCATATCCCTGTTGGTCTTTCACATCTTAGTAATCAAGGGTCTGTTCACTTCTGTCCTAAAAGATCATCAACTGTAGAAGCAGAAGTAGGTCATTCAGCCTATTGAGGCTGTTCTGACATTTGGTGAGATCATGGCTGATATGATGATCCTCAACTCTACATTCCTGCCTTTTTCCCCCTAACCCTTGATTCTATTCCTTGATTTAAAACCTGTCTATCTCAGCCTTGAATCTACTTAGTGATTCATGAACTGGATTGGTTGTTACAATGATCATTGAGAGTCACTATTAGATAAGGGACCCAAAACTGTTCACACTATTCAAGCTATGCTCTGACCAGTAAAAACCAAAAGAACTGTGGATGCTGTAAATCAGGAACAAAAACAAAGTTGCTGGAAAAGCTCAGCAGGTCTGGAAGCATCTGTGGAGGAGAAAACAGAGTTAACGCTTCGGGTCCGGTGACCCTTCCTCAGAACCTTCTGAGGAAGGGTCACCGGACCCAAAACGTTAACTCTGTTTTCTCCTCCACAGATGCTCTGACCAGTGCCTTGTATAGTTTTAGCAAAACCTCGTTATTTTTGTACTAAATTCCCTTTGAAATAAAGGCCAACACTCCATTTGCCTTCCCTATTACCCGCTGAATTTGGAACCTAGTGTTTTGTGATTAACGGACGAGGACTCCCAAACACCTCAGTTCTGTAATTCTCAGCAGTCTTTCTCCATTTAAATTATATCCAACTCCTCTATTTTTCCTGCCAAAATGCATGACTTCACATTTCCCCACATTATTTTCCATCTACCAAATTTTGACCCACTTGCTCAACCTATCTATATTCCTCTGTAGAATCTTTGTGTTATTCTCATCACTTGTGTTCCCATCTATTTTTGCATCATATTATGTTAAAGATTCAGGATCCATTGCCTTTTCCAAAGACTCACAACCCTCTGAAAGAAAAGATGTTTCCTTATCGATGTCTCACATGTGAGATCCCTTATTTTTAAACTCTGACCCCCTAGTTCTAGATTCTCCCACAAGAGGGAGCAATCTTTCCACATTGACCTGGCCAAATTCCCCTCAGGATCTGAGATAACAAGGTGTAGAGCTGGATGAACACAGCAGGCCAAGCAGCATCATAGGAGCAGGAAGGCTGACGTTTCGGGCCTAGACCCTTCATCAGAAAT